TTCTAAGCATACATAACACAAATTAGCGCAGCCGTTTCCAGACAGCATGGGATATTTTCGAAAAGCCCGTGGTTTTTCAGGAAAAATCCTACCTTTTCAGCCTAGGAACAGTTCAGAAAACGATAATATCATATTCAGAATCAACATCAAAAACTGCATCGAAGGATGTATAACAAAAAACTTTTCTAAACAAAAAATAATTTTCGAACTGATGAAAACAATTACATGTCCGCATGCCATGCGAAAAATGCACACTGTGCCCGGGTCACAAATCTATGTGAGTAACTAGAAGTCTGATCTTGGCAAAAATTTTAGAGAATATTAGGCATGTTGAGAAATAGTTGCTGTATAATTTTGAGTCTATATCTATGACCGTTTAAGACATGTCGCACTAGCGTATGTAAAAAACGACCAAAACAAACTTTGGTAGGTTAGCTATGCAAAGCAAAAACGATTCATTACTTTTTGAACCATGGTTGAAAAATAAAGTTCTTTTGTTTTTCACCAAAGCTTCTTTTCTCGGCTTGTTACACTGTTGTAACACTGTTGTCTATCTGTGTGACCATCTACCACCCGGCAGATTTCTTGTCTCAGAAAGCAGCTGGAGAGTTGAGTCTGGTTTTAAAACACCAGATTCAGTCAGAGCAACATAAGAGAGCCAGACTTTTGAATTTTTTACTTACTTTATTTTCCGAGGACTTTTACCTCAAAACTTCGGAAAAACTGGCGTATAACTTTCAATAATATAAAACAATGACATTCTAAATACATAATCCGGTCCTGTTGTGTCGTTCCTACGACTGTTTGCTTATGACCAACCCAAGCTCTCCAGCTTTTGAAATGGTCGCGGCAGACAAATGAAAAAGCACTTTTGAGATATGGGAGCCCCAATGTACTGCGCCTATTTTTTGGCCTCTTCATACAACTGTTATAACTTTTGACTGAAACGTTGCCTAGAGCTGGGAGGCACTTTGATCAGAATTGTTGCTCTAGAATCTGGTATTATTAAAAAAAGTCTGATTTTAGGTTTTATATTATATTAAAGCAATTTTTGGAAAAGTTAGTTTTCTAAAGCTTCCAGAAAACTAGAAAATTTTCGTATTTTGACGGGCGCACAGTGAGCAGACGGACATGTGTTTTTTTTAATTCAGAAAGAGGTTATTTTTATTCAGTACTACTTTATTACGTTTGAAATGTTATTATAGATTAAAAAAGTCCAAATTGAGAAAAAAAGTTTTAGTCAAAGATCCCTGAGGGATACTCACACAGTGTCCTGTTCTGAGTTGTAGGTTTTCCAAAAACCACTAGTTTTTGAAGATATTTCCCATTTTTCTCACCCCAGAAGTGTTTTTATTCAATAAAAATGACATATTCAGAATCAGCACAAGAAACTGCATCGAATGATGTGCGCTTAGTAAATTTTCCTGAGCAAAAACTTGTTGGATCGAACGAAACGCTAAACTCGAAGCATAGAGCCACAATGTTGGCTAAGGATTTTGATATTTGCTATAGAAGCAGTCCGAAAGTCTATAAATACTTTTTTTATAGGTTTTCAGATATGCTCTTTCCAAGGATGCACTTTATAAAGTTCCAGAATACTTATGAGTGGGTTTTCTAGAGATCCGATCTCTGGAGAACCGAGATGAAAGCCTCTTTGAACCTGGTAAAACATACCATTAGAAAGAGCATATCTGAAAATCTATAAAAGAAGTGTTTATAGACTTTCGAACTGCTTCTATAGTAAATGTCCGCCTGGCCTATGGAAAAATGCACACTGTGACTTATGCCCTAAATTTTTCTCGAAAAACATTTTATTCAGAAAATGAACAAGTTATACGTCATTCGATGTGGTTTATACGCTGATTTCAAATATCACATTATTTTTTTATACAAATGGTCCTGGACTGAGAAAAACGCATCTTACCTCAAAAACCAGGATTTTTTGGAAAATCGATATCCAAGTCTAGGCGGATAGTTGCATGCAGCATATCTGTAGGACATGTAGAGGAACATTTTGCTGTATTTTAAGTCCACTTTGAAGCGGGAGAAAACGGAGGAAACCCAAGTTCAAAAGTCGTTCAGGAAACAGTACTGGCTGTGTCATATAGCACATTTTTTACTTATGAAGTTTCTCGAACAATTCACCACTTGGAACAAAAATTTTAGTGCTATTACATAACCCTTATATTAAAGTATATCTTACACTACTTGAATTTTGAAAAAGTGCACTTTCAATTTTTGGCTAAATGTCCGCCTGGATGCCCACTGTTGGGCGGGGCGGGGGCTTAAATGGTAGCTAACAATCCCGAGTAAAATGACCCTTTTTGATGCAGTTATAACTTTTTTGTAGTACTTGTTCTTGTTGTTGTGATTGTGAGCGATAAAAATAAAATAAGAAGATTTCCTAAACCTTAGTTACATTAGTGTGTGGAGAATTTTATTTCAAGAAAAAGAAAAATGATAAAGTTGATCATGCGGTAGTAATGAGAAGAATATAAAGATCGAGGTATGACACCAGATTTAACCGAATAAAGATATAAAGAAAAAGAAATCATTTTAGAATTAAAGAATTTTTGCAAAGCTCTTCCGTAGTCGAGATTCCCGACAAAACTGCCATGGGATTACCGTCACCGAATCCTGCTAGAGTCAGGTGGGGCTTTCGAGAAACTCCTAAGGACCCGCTCGGGACTCCTGTTGGACTTTGAGGACTTTTAAGTCCTGCAGAAGCCCAACGAAAGTCCTCAAAGTTACTGAAAATGACTACTCCACTGAGAATTAATAGGGTTTTTCGACTTAATTAACCCATTGATTAAATCTCCATGTATTTTGAACATCTTGTTTTTTACTATGCGCACTAGCGAATTACTAAGTAAATGGGACTCTCTGCATTTTGGATCTGATTCAAAAACTTATGGGTATTTTCAGAAGATTATTGCAACAGCATGTAGATCGAACGATCTACCATCTTGGGTTTGAACCTTACAAATAGTTCAAAACTTAGCAAACCATAACCAAAATAACGAATCAAAATCAAGAAATGTTTTCAGTTTTTAGTAAAAGAGTATTCTTCCTTGTAGTGTTTGATAATTTATCAAGTTTTTTGAAGCTTTAACTTTTGTCAGACATCTTATTGCCTCTAGATGTATAATTTTCTATATGTAGTATTTGCTTGGTGCATAGATATAATTATAGGTTTTATTTTTGAAGGTGTTGCTCCTTAGACAATAAGTTTCCTTCTTTCTTCTCCATTTAGATTATTTTTCAAAATATTAACTTTGTGAAGGAGTTTTGCTTTCTTATTTTTCCTTCCTTATTCAATAAAAGAAAAAAACTAAAAAGTTTTCTGTTTTGTTCAAACATTTAAAAGATAGCTATCTCTCATTTATAATACACAGTATCTTTTTCTCTTCTTTCTTTTTATTATCAATTGTAAACTAATTAAATGTGAATTGTTCTGTTATTTTCAGATTGACATATACAGTAGAAAAAAATATAGATATAGTAACTTGTTCCTCGCTTCTTTTTTTTTTTTACAGATTTTTTTTTCTTTTTGTTAAACGAAGAAATGTCAAAACAAATTGTGTGTTCGCGTCGATCCATAGTAATCAAGTCATTTCTCGGTTTGTGTTTTTTCCCTCTGAAAAACTATTGTGAGCAGAATAGAGAGAAACGTCATATTCATCGGTAAAGATGTTCAAGTGTGGTTTGAAGGAAAAAAAAATGGAAAAATAACAAATAGGAAAGATGAAAAATTGTTTAGAAACACGACGGTTTCTTTTACTGTCATAGTTTGGAAAAGACAAATACATTCGCCCATCTCACCACCTACGTGCAAATGAGTACATTTGGAATGTAAGTAGAGTAAGCTGATAGATCGATCCATTTCGTGACGTTAAAATAACTATTTATTCCCAAGTGCTACTTATGCAAATGAATGATCATGATGCATGTATTAATGTAAGTGAATCAATTAATTGACAATCTAAAATATGTAAAATTCTGCACGCGTTCAATATCTAATAGGAGATAGTCAACTCTGAAGGTAAGCTGTTATGGTGGTCAGTACAGCACTATAGTTCATTTTATACTGTAGATTTAGAACTTTATTCTTTTCACTTTCTTAACAGAACAGAAGATGATAAAATTTTGTTCAGTTTCAGGCTTGGTTTGTAATAGATATCAAAGAAAAAAGATATGGTAGTTCATATTGGTGGTTTGGTAGCAATTTTATGCTTCTATGTTTTAATACTAATCGTTGGGATATGGGCAGGAAAAAAGCAGAAAAGTTCAGAAAAACAACCGGACACCGAAGAAATTATGTTGGCTGGAAGAAATATAGGACTTCTGGTTGGAATTTTTACTATGACAGGTAAAAATAAAATTGTTGAATACTATGGATCTTTGTTATCTTATTTTAATAGCTACGTGGGTGGGTGGTGCATATATTAATGGTACAGCTGAAATGGTATTTTC